GAAAAATTCCGGCGAAATGTCACCAAATCCAAAACAGTACGCGAACAGAAAATTTGCAGAAACTNAAAAACCAACAGCAAAATTCCGGCTAAATGTCACCAAATCCAAAACAGTACGCGAACAGAAAATTTGCAGAAACTTGCAAGTTAGACGAACAGCTGATATAATTTTTGTTTACATTCAAAAGTGTAAAATTTAAAACGTACGAAAACTCATTACAAAGTGGTATCGTGACACAGTTTATTGATTAAACAGATAACTACTTACTTCTTACAAGTTTAATTAGTCGCATTTTGTCATTTTTAACTTCCAAACCATCAAATTCAATTTTGTGATTTGCGTAAATTCAAACCAGCTGTTTTTGATCAGCTGTTTTCCTGTTGGCAAATTGCTGTTGGCAAAAATTTTTCCAGCAGAAACCAGCAGCTTCCCCTCAAAATGAAATGTCACTTTGCTCTCTCAATTTCCCCTACTTTGCAAGTTTTTGCGTACGCGAACGCAAAATCGTGAAAGTTTTGGTTAAACTTGAACAATTAACAGCTACGCGAACGCAACTATTATTAAGATCACATTCAAGTTATAAATAGACATACATATGCCATGACGTGTGTCGCTACTTAGATTCATTTTTATTTCCTTTCATACTGCAGAAATTTTTATTACTTTTTATATAAGCCTAGGTCCCCGTATTAGTATTCTTCTTCGTGTTCGTGGTCATTTGTGCATAAGTTAGCTAAGACTTCTGAAACAGCTGGCAACCCTAATAAATATAGTTAGGAAGTAAAAAAATCTCGTGCGTCTGATATTGTGATACCTACAAATTTCATGTGCCTGATGAATTAAGTCAAACTTGCTTTTTTAAATACGCTCTTAAAAGTAGTTCAGAAATAAAGCCTTTTTAAACCCATTTCATTTGATACCCATATTTTTGATAATTGCTTTAACTTATTAAATAATTTGAGTTTACCGTTTTTAAACAGGTGGCAACCCTCTTTAATATTTTAAATATTTAATGTAAAGATATCTTACCACCTTCTTTTCACGTCATATTTTAATATATCATTTAGTTTATGCTTACTTTATTTAAATGCTAATTTGAAAACATATGGCAACCCTATTCAAAATATTTTTAAACCAAAACCTTGTTAAACCGTTTTCGACTTGCACACATATTGCGATACAAATTTAACCCTCAATTAGACGCATGGGGTCAAAGCCATTTCAAGTTGAAAAAAAAAAATGTCTTAGAGGACTTGGAGCGTGCTCGCGCTCTTTCTAGCTTCCTAACTCTCCGCGGGGTACGTAAATAAGTCACTGCCAGAACATTGGCGTGTACGCATGTGTCGCTACTCGCTTGAGTGCTGACCCCATGCGACCACTAACGTAACATTTTTTGGGGGAGGTAAGTTTTTATTTTTTTTTTTAAGTTTGAAGTCGAAAATATGTTTTTTTTTTAAGCTAACGATAATTGTTTAATATTTTTGATAATACACACTTCGTTTTTTTTTATTTTTAAAACTCTTTTTTCAACACTTTTATAGGGGTCACTGGGGACCCCATGCGACTTATTGTGTGATTTTCTTTATGCGCCTAATTAAGGGTTAAATTGTGTATAATTCCCTTAATTCAAGTTGAATTTAATTTGTAAAGCATATGGCAACCCTCTTAAACAAAGTTCAGAATAAAATATTTTTAACCCATGTCGATTTATACCCATACTTTAATTATACATTTGACTTATTAAAAAATTTTAATCTATCTTTTTACACAGGTGAAAACCCTCTTTAATGTTATAAATGCTCAAACTAAATGTTTTTTAACACTCCTTGGTTTGACCCCATATTTCAGTATTTCGTATAATTTAATTTAATTCGACTTTTCAAACAGATGGCAATCCTGTTCAAATTATTTTTAAACGAAACCTCGTTAAACCTTTTTCGTCTGACACTTGTATTGTGATACATATTTAAATTATCTTAATCAAAATTGAATTTAATTATAAAATCTGGTGGCAACCCTCCTACATGCAGTTTAGAAATAAAGTTTCTTCAAAGCAATTTTGATTTATATTCAAATTTAAGTAATTCATTTAACCTGTTGCTTATATTGAATCTAACTTTGTAGCAAGGTGGCAACCCTCTGCAAGTATATTTTTTTTGAAACCACAACCTCTTTCGCAGGACATCCATATCAGGATAAACATTTCAATTTTCTGCCTTTATTTAAGTCGAACGTGCTTTTTGAAACAGGTTGAAACCCTCCTACATATAATTAAGAAATAAAACCTTTTCAAAACCGTTTCTCGAAAATTGTGATAACTCGTAACAGGTTAGATTACGAGTTATCGCGATTTCACTTTATTATTACTATTAAATGTATATTATTGCGTATCATATATGTATATATTATATAAAGTTATTATAAATCCAATAAATTATGACTACATTAAGTTCTTGGGCACTTAAATTTAAGGAAGTAAATTTAATCAATTTGTGTAGTGAACGGCTCATTTGTTGATAACTCGTATCACAACGAGTTCCTTCTCAGCAAGAGAGCAACACCCACACCAATATACATATGGAAGTTCTCTATGACACAATAATTGAACGACCCCATTCACAGTTTTGAACGCCAACATCGCGATTCACCTTGTACAATCCACACAAGTAAGCAGCACAAAGCAATTTATTTTCACATTAACATCCACTGCTGGCGTGTTATCACTGACGGCTAACCTTTATGGCAGGGCAAAAGACGGTAAATGCATCTTTTACAGCGAACATGTATTTAGGAATACATTAAAAAGTTTTATTGATCAATTTGTTGAACATCAAGATGTTAAAAGTTGATGCAATTGCACGACATTTTTTAATAATTTCAAACGCCATGTTTTCGTTGCAAATATTACTGTGTACGCGTGTTAGGGATGTTAATTTTATCGCTTTTTACGATCCCGGGATTTTTGGGATGTCGTCACCACAATACCGTGATCCCGGGATTAGTCCCGGAATTTAGATATTCATTACTTTTCAACAACTTAAATCGAAAAAATGGCATCTATCTCTCCTACCATAGAATAAATAATAAATAACCTACTTTTTATTTAAAGTGGCGTTTTCTGATTTTTCTCTCTGATGACAGAATTTATTTTAGAGGACTTTGTAATTTTAAAGAAATTATTAATTCCAAAAATTATTTAAAAANATGGGTTCAAAACCTACTTTTTATTTAAAGTGGCGTTTTCTGATTTTTCTCTCTGATGACAGAATTTATTTTAAAGGACTTTGTAATTTTAAAGAAATTATTAATTCCAAAAATTATTTAAAAAATTTAATGCCAAATTATGGGTACCAAATGCAAGAGAAAATAAAAATAAAATTTTTAGGAGTCACAAGGACGAATAGGTAATTTTTTAATGTTATCAAGTTTATATAAGTCCTTTACATATAATTTTTTCAAAAACAAATATTGCGAAATTTCAAGGATAAAATTTTAAAATGACATTTTCCATATTTACCAGCAGTTCTTCACCAGGAACTTGAATCTGTTTAAATTCTACAGGATTTCCTCATTAATTTTATACCCATACTTCTTCTCCAAGCACGTTTCTCAGAATTTTTAAATCATTTTTGAATTACTGACGTCAGAGTGAAAAACCAAAAACGCAATTTTACTAATTTGGCCCATGGTTTCGCGAATACATTGATTTTTGTGTGTAAAATTTACTATCTCACGGTGTTATATGTATAATCAGTTAGACATTTATAAAAAATATTAATTATTGAATAAAACAAGAAATATAGCAAATACTGGTCAAGAAACGGAGTTTATATTATTGCCATCAGTGCAAATTACAAATCCCGAAAATCCCGGGATTATTAGCCAAGAATCCCGGGGTTTTCGAAACCTAAACAAGACCGGTATCCCGGGATTAACATTCCTAATGCCTGTGTACATATTTATTGTATATTACGTGTATTTCATAACAAAATTATAGAGTCAGTGATTATGCTTAACACTTTAATGGTGATAAAGCAGATAATAATAGTACTTCTGATGTTTAATTTAAATGTTGCATATATACCAATCGTCGAACCTCGATTGCGCTCAAGCATTTAAAGTTTTGAAACACGTAGGTCAGTATAAGGCACGGTGCACATTAGAGCGATACCATACGCGATACGATATGAAAGCGACATGGTAGGAAGCGATGAAAACTGTGCACACTTGCACGGCAGCAAAATATATCGCTTGCGCATCGGCCGAGCATCACGGTTTGCTATTACACCGCATATGGTTTCGCGTGTCGTATCGCTCTAATGTGCGCTGCACCCATGTCGATGTCGCTTTCATATCGTATCGCTTATCGTATCGCTCTAATGTGAACCGAGCCTAACAGACACCGAAAGTTCGACACTTTTCCCGAGCTTCAATAGCGGTTTTTACTAAAAACGCCTTTTTTTTGGTCATATAGTTTGTTTATATGACTAATTCATTAATAAGTATTACAAATATTGAAAAAATTTCAAGCTTACATCGAAAAAAAAGTTTATTAAATAAATATCTGGCAAAGTGGTGTCTGAGAGCCTACACATGAGTAAAATAGGGAAAGTTTAGTCGCGTCGGTAGCAGAGGTTTAATCATAATAATATATTGTTATTAATTCTAATTAAATCATATTTTGTACCCATTCTTGCCGTCGTGGTTAATATGTATGCATGTATACTTACATATACGCCGATAAAAGAAAGAAAGGATGTAATAAATTCATCATATATCATAAATTAAACACAATATAATGTTTATAAATAACTTTATTATAACATGAATGGAAACAGGAATTACAACAAACGCAGAGAAGTATTCATTCATGTACATAGATACGACGCATGTCCGTCCATACAAGGTACGTATACGTGGAGTATAAAGAGTTTACATATGTATATTCATATGTACATACATACGTAACTATATATGTATGTAGAATGTGTAATGTACATTGTACAAACCGAAGCTTTCGATGTGTTTCTTTAATTTACTGTCATGATCTACATGATCCACATTCATGCGAAAATGGCTGTAGAGCATAGAGCTAACAATGTGCAGAAATGTGAGGCCATGAACCAGGGTAGTCTATCTACAAAAACTTTTGGCATTATGAATGATTGAAGCTACTAGACTTAGGCTATCTGTTGCTACATATTTTACGAATTACGAAAAACTAGTTAAACTAGGGCAACACCTTTCTTAGTGACGCATTTTAAGCAACACCTTTTTTAATGTAGTTGGACTACTCTGGCTATTAAGTCCCCAAATGTGAATTCATTTATTTAGGTAGGTATTTACATGCACATGCATACATATGTACAACTAGTATTTGATTATCTGCAAACATTGAGCAGTGCAGCAGTGGAGCCCTAGAAGCAGCTGACTGCATTGAAGTAGCAACGCCAGTACATGCGTCCACCATTACCAATTCCGTTACGTCCAACACCGCCGCCACCTAAACCACCGGCATTGTCATCTGTCGTCGCAGCCGCCGCCGCCGTCAACATCGCCACACCTTCGGCATTGCCTAGGTCGCCGCCCAAATCCAAGCCCATGCTTCCCCTTCTCTGAAAGCTCTTTGCCATTAACTGAAAATTTCTCACACACATGCCCAAATCACAATGCTATATTATGCTTTAATTATCCAACTTACAGTTTCCCCAGTAGCACGATTTATGGAATTTAAGTCTTTGAAATCGTAGTCCATTAAAACTGAGGGATCGTCATCGCTATACATATGATTTGCAGTCATTTGCTCGGAATCATCATCGCTACCTGGAGAACTCCCCGCTTTCGTCTTGTCATATTTGTCATTGCGGCCCGCATAAAAATCACTTAGCTTGCCGCGCTCCTGTTCTAATGCATGATGGAGTGCAACCATAAGTCGGTCAAGTAAGAGGGCAGCTCGTTTTGGTACCACCATCTAAAAAGAGAATTAATTAATAAATGCAGTAGTATGTAGATTTAAATATACAAAAATAATGATGCACTCTATCAAAATCGCCAAGATTTTTGCCCTGAAATCTTAGTAATAAAATTACACAAAGCATAATGGATAAATTCTTATCAGTAACGTTATCTTGTAACAGCGGTTGAAAAGTTTACCTTCGAGAATCTGATTGACGCTGGGCAACTAAAGCGGCGCGATATGGCCTTCATTGAATGCCAAGATCACTTGCCCGGCCTTTTAAATATTTCAAATTTTTGACCCGTTTTGTGTAATGATGTATGTATAGGACATTCTAACGGACATTGAACGTTAGATACCACACCATCCCAGCACTCCGCCCCTCTACCAGAAATGCGCGATTAAACTATATGTAGGAAACTTTTTTTTTTAATTGTTAAACCTTCTACTCGTACACGTCCCGTAGCGAATGTCATGCGTTAGCCATTTAAGTGTCTTACGGCCTTGCTAAGTCTTCAATGACTTTGGGCTCCGTTTATATGGAAGTCGTTCATGACTTTTTCATACAAATGATAATTTAGTTGTTAATGGCCTATGCAATGATCATGCAGTGATCATTGATGACATTCAAGCGACAATGTCCTGCAATGAACTTTTTATAAGTGGCCGCTGCAAGACATTNCAGTGCCGAAAAGTTTAAGCTTTTGCTTGGAATTGCTTATTTTGCTTATTCAGGGTTTTCAAGCTTAATTTTAACGATCATGCTTATTTGGTTTATTTAAATGTATAAATCCCAGTGAGGACCTTTTAAGAAAACTGTCAAGAAATAAATTGCTATTATTTCGTGTGTGTACAGCCTGCTGTCTCACTTTTTTCTTACGAAATAATGGTAAGGGCATATATGTATATTGAAAACAAGGGAGTTTTGTGCTCTTCACAAAAAAATCTTAGAGAACAATGGTAGGAAGCGTGGCAGATTTCTTAAGAACTCCGCACTGCTTAAGAAAATTTGACTCAATAAATTTTTCTTCACCATTTTTTGGGTGTTTTTCTAATTCGTTTCACTAACAGGTGCAGAATAGACGTTACCGAAGATTTTGTAACCGGAAAATTGTATTACCAAAAGATGTTACCAGTTCTTGACACCGCGACTCTAGGAACGTTGGTAATGCAGTTAAAATATTCAGCTATTCAGCTTGAAGAATTGTGCAATTCCTGCCATTGCATATTTCACGGGGCAATACTTTGTTACCAGCTTATGAGATGGTAACAAAATTTACCGGTTACAAGAGTACACAGAATGCGAAAAGGGTTTAAAAATTGACAGGAACTTTATTTACCGGTTACAAACTTTTTATTACCAGCGCAGAATAGACCTGTAAAACAATGTTTACAAATAATAACATAAAAAGAGATTTAGTTTTTATTAGCCCGTCACTTCAATTTGCATTTATGCTTGGATCCAAAAATTTAAAACCAATGGTTTGTTTCTGCGGGAAGGCATTGGTGTTATTGAAGAGATTAAAAAATAATTTACCTCAAATGGAGAATATCGAATATTTAAAAAAATTAAAATGACCATTATTTGAGAATATCAAGCCACACCTGCTAGTCCATTGTAATTTTTCAATCCTTGAAATAAACTGAATAAAAAAACAAAACATTAAACTGTACTTAAATTTTGTTGTTTTGCGCTTAAAATGGATTTTTTTTTTGCTTATTTTCTTCGGGCCTGGTTATAAGTCTGTGATAGGAGTACACCTGCATGACATTGTCACCAGTGTCATTGTCAGCTGTATGTCGTTTAGGATTCACAGAAATTGCGACGATGTCACTAAATCCTCATTAGTGTCGATTTCACCAGAGACCTTTTTCGCTACTGGGTGGCGTATGCGTACATTTTTTTCCTGATTTTTTTGTAAAGCAGCAGATGAAAATAAAAAAAAAATGTTTTATTTTTTCTCTGTTCAAGTTTGGATTTTTTTTTATTAACGATGCAAATTAAAATGTAAATATCTTTGGAAAACGCTTATTGCACGAGAAGTAATGAAGCGATTTACAAAAAATGCATCATTTAAAAACGAAAATCCACATTAAGCAGTTAAAAATGTTCACTTTGTTTTCTGTGTTATAAACAACAGTAAATATTGGCTTATTTTGCGGTAAATTTTTGGAAAAAATTTACTTATTTTGGTATTACCAAAATGCCCGAAAACCGCTCGAATGATTTTGCTTTGATTTTCAAATTGAAAAGTATTAGTGTGTATTTCTACCATCGAAAACGTTGTGAATATTAAAAAACAAGTAATTTTTAAGCAAAAAACATAACCGCCTTCAATTCCCATATAAAAATTTAGGAGTACCGTTAATTTCTTCATAATCCAACGCTCGGATCTAAACCGAATTAGTATGGGATCACCTCGGAGACACTACCTTTCCGATAGAAAAAGAATTATCGAAATCTGTTGACGTGGTTATGCGGTAGCAACATAAAAAAAGAAAGAAAAAATCCGACGAATTAATAATCTTCTCCTTGAAGTTGGTTAAAAATCACCACTCTCTCAGTTTTCAATGCCAGTGTATGGATGTCTGCCAGGGTGATTTTGAGTTTGTTTTACCAGTCAAGGCAACAGTTGCTCATTCTCGCGTTCATCTTACGCCAGGGTAATCAAAAAAAAAAAAATAAATGCGTTTCAGGGAGCATGCTGTCGAAGAAGTTTTAGTTAGTCGGTGTGTGAAACAATTTTGATTTTTTAAGTGAAGACGGGTATTGACACACAAGTTAGTCAAAGTAGTTTACCTTATAGAAAAAAGTTTATAGATATTTATAACTATATGAAAAATTATCAAGAATAATTACTAATCTGGTTAAATATATATAATTGTTTGGTTTTGGTTTCATCTCTTCAGTCCGTTATCTCCAGCTCTTTCTAGAGGTTTGGAAACAGGATGTAGTCGGAGGCGGCTAAATAGGAGGGCATGCTGCATAGGGAGCAGTTGGTGGCAGAAATTTTAGATGTTTGCCGGGGTGGCTACGCACGTATGCCCCTATGCTTTGTCCGAGCTTGCCTACTTTCAGTGGCGGTCAACACAAATTAATCCATCTATTCTAACAAAGTCACAAAACTAAGCTCATCTCTACAGCTTAGATTCGTATGTTGAAAAACACGCCTAAAAAAATATGTACCATAACAACTATAAGCAAAGTGTATATCAATTTATATACATTCAGCGTCAAAACTAAAAAATGAATACCTTGACATTTTGACGATTTTTTTTGCTTACATCTTCCATACAAAATTTTACTTATAAAAAAATATATTTCATTCTCTCGGAGAAAATGCAAGAAATGCCAAAAAATTTTCATCATAAGATTTATTAAAATAGTTTTACCTCCATTTTACCTACTTTGACTCATATTGTCAATCATTGCTTTACCACCTCTTGTTTCCCTGATTCATGGAAGGTTGCAACTGTGATTCCGGTAGCAAAAAATAATATCTTGCCTGTCTTGTCTAAAGTACTTGAGTGTTTGATGTCTGAAAAAATATGTGCACATCTTCAGAAATGTGGGTTATTGTCCCCGTTCTAGTCCGGACTTAGAGCTAGACACAGTTGTTCCACGGCTATGATTCAAATATTTTACAACATACTGATATTCTTTGATAAAAACCACCTGACACTATAATGCCTTTTGGATTGCTCCAGAGCTTTCGACTCAGTTAGCCAGGAACTACTGTGCTTCGAACTCAGAAACTATTTTTTGTTTAGTGACGTTGCCGTGCAGTTAATGAAGAGCTATCTGTCCGACCAAATCCAGAGAGTAAAAGTTGGTGACTAGTGACTAATCTCAGTTTTGTTTTAAACACTAACCTAACACGCACTGATCATGTTAACTCTGTCATAGGCAAAGTCTATTATACTCTAAGAAAATTTAAGAATGTCTGCTACTTTTACACCATTAATCGTTAGGCGTAAACTGGCCATTCAATTAATATTGCCGATTGTCTGCTATTCTGAACTAGTCTAGCAGAAAATTTGATAACCGAGTTTTGTTGGCAGGAGAAGCGTTGCATTAATCTACATCTTTTAATAAGAAACAAAGTTTTCTACTAACAGTTCTTACGAAACAGAGTTTTCAAAACAAAAAAACAACACCCTTAAAAAGTTCTGTCTTTTGAAATAAAGCTGTTGTAATTATGGCAAAGGTTAGAGGTGCGGACCTCTACCCGGTAGAACCTACATATGTAGGTTCGATCGCATTATCCAATCAACATCTAAAATTATAAAAAGTTCTTTCTGACAGCGGCCTCAATAGTTAAGGGTGACTTTTTAGCTCTATAAGTATTTAGCTCGATTATAAATATTCCCTACATATTTCGGTCAAGTTTGCAGAATCCTCAAGATCTCTTAGCGAACGATATCTTATTATCATGTAAACGGTACTATGACCAATAATAAATATTTGCAAATAAGTGTATGTTTTTTTTTTTTAAAGCATTCCGAAATTAAGTTTAGTTTGTTTAAATTAAATTAAATTAAACCGATCGAGATGGATCGGTGAGTTATTTCCAGTACATTCGGAATAGTTTATAACATTTTTGGACTAGTTAGGCGAAGCTATCGTGGCGATATTTTGAAATAAATCTAAGTAAAAGCCCTATTAGCTCATATTCAAACACTTATTGCTAAATTTGCTAAAGTTCTTATAATCACTGCAGGCAAGATTCAAAAATTCGGCAAATTGCCTTGAAGCTTTATTGACAATTTGACAACTAAACACTCCCATTCAAACAGTGGTGTAGCTGAAGAAAAATACATAATATTTTAGCAAAAAGCACAACGGACTTAATTCTCATATAAAAAAAACTCCGTTAATTTCTTCATGAACTGATGATCGGATATAAAGCAAGTATGAGACCACCCTTGATGCACCACCTTTCCTATAGAAAAAGAATTATCGAAATCGTGGTCCAAAGTAACATACATAAAAAAAAAAAAAAGAAAACAATATTCCGACGAATTAATAACCTCCTCAAGAAATAGTTCCGATACTAGCAAGTCAACATTCTTATTAAGTCTCATCAAAAAATGCATTGTCATTTAAAGTATAAAGGGAATGCCGCATTATACTAAAGCCAGCCTTTCGACATAAGCTANATTGTCATTTAAAGGATAAAGGGACTGCCGCATTATACTAAAGCCAGCCTTTCGACATATGCTACTTTTCCATACGAACACAGATATGTATGTATAACAATTGAATTTCATTTAACTCACGGGATACTCATCATAACTGGTTTCAATTCGATCGTCCAAACTGAAAATCTCTTCAGGTTGTCCACTGCCAATACGACGCTTTCTGACTGCAGATTGCTTTTTTCCAACTTCATCACTTTCACTGTCGTTAAAGCGGTCTGCAAAATTAGAACTAGAACTATGGCTGTCCTCTGTTGGATCTGCTCGGTTTCGTAGGTAGTGTGCGTAATCACGGCTTCCATCATTATTTTGTGAGGTTCTACGTTCGTTTGTTGGTATGTGGTGACACGTATAAAGGTCTGCGTATTGCAACAATATGAGCGCAATTAAAACCACAGTCCATTGTTGTACCGGTTTTGGCAAATTGACATAGATATCAACATGATGACGTCTGCTCCGATATGAAGCGTGGTGAATATTCTCGAGTTGGTCATTATGGCTCTTATATTCCATCGAATATTGCTTGACAGCACTCTGATGCATTTTTTATTGTTAATCTTCTCTTTGAACTAGTACTAGTACTTATTAAACTCAGCTCATAATATTCGGCAGGTCGATTATACAAACATTTCGGGTCAATGTAAATAAAGTTTACATCGTCAAATAGCAGCACATTATCGAATGCTAATACGGCGCATTTTCGAATAAAACACTTTATATGCCGCAAAAAGTCTCAATAAACCGAATATATATGTCAGTGATCATAACTAGTTGTTTTATTTAATTGATAAAGATAAAATAACAAATATTTAGCAGATTTTGATAAAAAATTCGAATATTATTAAATTCCGTCTGTTTCAATGGTACTATTTCCTTGCACTGGCGTTGCTGCGATTTTCTTCATGCCTTTTTATAATCGCAGAGATTTAATACGGATGTGTATGCACCTAGCAATACATATATATTCGTAGCTATTAAGACATGTTTCTTCGATGGCGGCTACTTAATTCATTGCCATAGCGTACAAAGAAATGCTTTTCATTCATCATTCGCCTTTCCGATACTTTTTACTGCAATTCATTATTTGCGGCGTCCAAATGTTCCTGTGGTTGTTATAATTAATATCAGCACACATTTGAACACATGTCGTATGTGNAAATCATTCGCCTTTCCGATACTTTTTACTGCAATTCATTATTTGCGGCGTCCAAATGTTCCTGTGGTTGTTATAATTAATATCAGCACACATTTGAACACATGTCGTATGTGCATCGAAAAGTTACATGCCTTTGCACGGTTTGGTTCCTAGTAAGATTGTAAGGACATGGTTTTAACAACGTCACAACAACCAGTTTACAACATATCCTGAGCGCCTTAAGCGGTTTGTAGAAAATGGCAATATATACATATGTAGCTACTTATGTATGTACATACATACATCTATAGTCTTGTTAACGAGCGAGAGCACTTTGGGTAGGTGGNAGCAATATACATATGTAGCTACTTATGTATGTACATACATCTATAGTCTTGTTAACGAGCGAGAGCACTTTGGGTAGGTGGTATTAACATCCCTACACGTGTAGGTCCAGTACGTGTGCATTTGCACATACCGCTCATTTGCAGCAAGAGTGTATGTAATACGCCAAAAATCTGAAACTCGAGAAAAACGGCTTTAAAGTTTGCATTTTACATACGCTCCCATAGTAAAAATAAAGACACATATTCTTCTAATGAACTACATACATACATATTGTTAATCGACACAGCCATAAAATTTTTACACAACATACAAAAAGAGGTGGCGGGCATTTCTACGTAATTAATTTAATTCTTTATTATTTTTTTTTTGGATTTTTACACTCTCTGAACATTAGGTATATGTGTGCATGTATGTACTATATGTGTGTGTGTTATGCAAATGCATATTTACATATCGTACGCCTAGATCTAAAGTGCGCTAATTCAAAATTCGGATCGGAAAATATAACCGCTTGTGGATCGTACAGATTCAACGCAAAAACAAGTATTAGAGTAGTTTTTTAGTTAGTGTATGTAATCACGAAAAAAATATATTTGCAAAAAAATGGCCTAATTTTTTTTTTTCAATCATTGCCTTTTAGATCTAGGTGTGCGATATGTACACACGTCACAGCTGCAGTTCGGTAATCATAATGGTTATTTCAATTTGCTTTTATAACCGAGGAATTAGTATTCAATAATAATTAGAAATAATCAAAAACAATCACGATTATTTGCCATTAACAACAATAATCAAAAAGAATCAAAAAAATAATTTAATTATTTTTTTACTACTTCCGATTATTCTTGATTACTGTAATTTTATTTAATTATTTTCTCTATTTCACTGCAAAGAAACGTACTGATGCCAGAGGTTCCCATTTTTTTCTTTCTCTTAGACTACTTTCAAAATGAAATTGGTTTCGGTGGACTCCCTTCAAAACTCGTCGGAATGGTAAAAAATAAAAATGGTCAGGGTATTAATCTAAACGCGTAATGCGACTCGGCTCTAAAGTATGGAATTGACTATGTGCTGGTATATTGGATTCTTTCGCGTAGAGGGTCGTTTGGAAGGGCGGGGGGAAGGGGGGGGTCAGTAAGTCGCGTGTGGAGTTCATAGGGGCTGTCCTCAGGGCGGATGGCGTCTCCCTTGCTCCGGTGCTTGACAATTGATTGCCTGCTCTTGAAACTTAACGGCTCTAACATCTAAGTCCTGGTCTATGCATATGGCAAGCCCTTATCTGCCAGTTGTCTGCAGGAAAGCGCAAATAACTGGTGTTGTGCTTTTCATCAGCAGGAGAAGGTTGGGTGGCCTTGCTCGCCCTGCCTTTAAGGTAGTTACTATTCAAGCAATCAATCGAAAATTCGTGTGGAATGCTCTGTAGGTCCTTTGTACTAAATCATATACTTATTTATGGAGTTAGCAGCTTTTCATTGGAAAAAATTGTGGAGTTATCCGATTTTATTTTCAATAATTTGTAGTGACTCTAAATGCTAAAACAAATATTTGCTTTCACAATCACGTAGATCACATCACATTTCTGCTCTGCCATGAACTTATAAAACATCTTAGAAATACTAGGTGCCAGCAGCGAGAGCGTAAAGACAAAATTGAGAAAAAGAGCAAATTATCACAAATAATTTTTGAACGCAAAACCAGTAAAAACTTTACACTTACACCATTGTGCCACCACTAAAATCTACACCGGAAATCAATTATTCATAAATTTTTTCAATTCACTAATTTCATTTTGTGGAAATCTTCAACAAATTTTAAATTTTGGTTGATTTTTTTTTTCTCAGTGTATAAATGGGCAACAAGGCTTGTTGCTTTAATAAACAATTCAATTTGTGAGTCATTATCAATGGGTAGGTGCAGAAGGCGCAGCAGTTGAGCCCAACCGTTGCTAACAAAATCAGTGATCGTTATGCGTCTTCTGAACGGCCTGATACATTAGCTGTCAAATTCAACTCGCAAAGGTACACACACACGAACATGTTGTCTCAAAGGATCAGAAAAATATTACGATCATCTAACACGCAGCTGTTCAGTTGATCAGAAGTACACAACAACGCGCTCAGAAGGTGCAATCGCAACAGTTACTCAGCTGTTGCGCGATCTGAACGTGCCCAATGTTACTCAATTTCTTATTATTTATCACCCAGTAGTAGACGAGTTGATGATTGCTACTTTCCGCAAGCAAATACAATAAGCCACTTACTTCGTCAGCACCGGTGGAGAGATTACAGCGGCACACAAAAAAAAAGTTGTTTGTACATCCGACACCACCTACCCACTACCGGCATGTATTTTTTGACCCGCTGAATCCGAATTTTAAGTCAATTTCGGGCCGTACAAAAAAAATTTATGGAACTAAACCAAGCATAATTCTTATGTATTTTGATCCGTTAAATATAACCTGGAGTGTATTTAGAGCAAAAACCGTTATAAATATTAAAAGATTAAAAAAAAAAACTTGAAAATTGTTAAAATTAGCTGATTGTGTCTGGCGCTACGGGGCGTATACGTTACACACACAACGACGGGTATATTAATTAGCTCGATTGGTTCAACCGCTATCGATTTTGCTACTTTTAACATCTTTCAAGGTTCTTTTACAATTTTTTAAGATTTAGAACGGTTTATGGTCTAAATACACTTCAGATTCAGTCCACGTCGACACGCACTTTCTGATTTTTTTTTTTTTTTAATTAGTATTGTTAAAGTCTAATATTGAGTAAACTTATTGAATGTAAGTTCGTTTTAGTGACTAACACCACATAGATCTGATTTTTTGTTTGTCCTTGTTACTTGTATACAAATCTGTATTTCGGTAATATTGAAGTTTTCTTTTTTATTCAACATTTTGATTCATATGTATGTATAAAGACTGCATTAGTAAGTGATTTTTATTTATATTTAATACAAAGTAATCCTTTTTTTTCGCGGGCAGGGGGTCGAAAATGTCTATTGCATCATCAAAGCTGTCAACAACAACAATGGTATGTCCGGAGACTAAAACACTCCCCCCGAATTGGAACCGTCGCCCACCCTGGGACCACTAATCGCATTGCTTCAGGGTGGCGTTCCATATTTCTCATTAACTAAAGTTCCCTCGGTGCACCTGCGTCCAGGTCCCGCTTCTTGACTCTAAGTAAGTATTCTGCATATTTAGCTATGTTCTTCCAGTTAGTTTCGCTATGTAGCATGGCTTGGATGACGTTATCTGGATTAATTGGTCCTACAAGGTCTTGCAGATTATTGCGCTCGGTTTCCCATCTTTTGCATCTGAAAAAGTGTGCTCGGCATCGTCTTCTTCTGCGTCGCTGTATATGCATGACGGCTCTTCGGCTTTTCCCATTCTATACAGGTATTTGCGAAAGTAACCATGCCCAGACAGCATTTGTGTGACGTAATAGTTTATTTCGCCATGTTCTCTTTGGGTCCACAGTTTTAGGTCTTTTATTAGCCTAGCCGTCCATCTGCCGCGGCTTTCGTTTTGAAACCTATCTAAGACTATGTCTCGTCTCTTACTCTTTCCCTTTCGTTGGCACTTGGATTCGTTTGCGCCTTAAACTCCCACATTTTCTTGCGTTCGGCTGCTAGCAGGTCAATGGGAACCGTTCCGCTTATAACTAGTATTGCCTCGCCGGACACTGTACGGTACGCAGAGGCTACTGTGCGATGAGCTCTAGAAAGTGTCATGCAACGGTTTTTTTTCTGTAGGGTGTCAGCCCAGATCTCCGCTCCGTATAGCAAAATATTCAAGGTTGTGGACATTAGAAGTTTTCTTTTACTTTGGGTCGGTCCACCAATATTGGCCATTAATCTGCTTAGGTAAGCCGTTNTAGGGTGTCAGCCCAGATCTCCGCTCCGTATAGCAAAATATTCAAGGTTGTGGACATTAGAAGTTTTCTTTTACTTTGGGTCGGTCCAAATAATCCTTAGCAACCATTATAGTAATCCTTATAACAAAAAAGGCAGGATTGCAATTAAAGTAATCGTTATTTCAACTCTAAGATACGCCTCATTGGATGTTGTCATTGTCCATGTTCTTTACCAGTACAAGCATGATGAGTGACTTATAGAGTGTGGTTTTCGTACGTCGAGAGAGGACTATACTCCTTACTTGTCTATTTAGTTCAAAGTAGCGTAAGGGCGATTCTGCATTGGATTACCATGCTGACATTTTTATCGGTGTTAATGCTGGTTCCCAAGTAAACGAAATTCTCTACGTTCTCGAAATTCCAACTGTCAACAATGACATGGGTGCCAAGACGCGAATGTAGTGACTGTTTGGTTGATGGCAGGAGATACTTCGTCTTGTCCTCGTTTACCACCAGAACCATTAGCTTTCATTCCTTATCCATCTTGGAAAAGGCAGAAAAACTTCGCGGTTTTTTTTTTTACCGGTGATGTCATCGGCATACGCAAGAAATTGCACTCTCTTGTAGTAAATAGTTCCTGAGCGGGTCAGTTCTGCAGCTCTTATTATCTGCTTCAACATCAGATTAAAGAAATCACATGAAACGGAGTCGACCCGTTTGTTGGCAAACGGCTCGGAGAAGTGTTTCCCAATTCTGGCGGAGCTGGTGGTATTACTCGACGTCATTTGACACAGCCGTATCACTTTCGCTGAGATGCCAAATTTAGACATCGCATCCCTTTTAGTGCTGTCGAAAGCTGCTTTGACGCCGACAAATAGATGGCGAGTGTTGATCCTTTTCTCGCAGGTCTTTTCCTAGATCGTATTGTGAATACCTGGCCAATGGTGGATTTTCCAGGCACATTGATAAGGCTCCCGATAAAACCTTATAACCTATGCTTAGAAGGCTGATCCCGCGGTAGTTGGCGCGAATGCCGGGGTCGCCTTTCTTGTGGATTGGACAGAGCACACTTAAATTCCACTCATCGGGCATGCGTTCATCTGACCATATTCTGCATAGGAGTTGATGCATCAACGCCTCGCCACAGTTGTTGTTTTTCATCCGCGTTATTGCTATTCGTACCTCATCATAGTCAGGCGGTGTGGAGCATCGACTCCGTCATCATCGACTGGGGGCTCGCATTCGTCTTTTCCACAACTTTCAGTGCTGCTACCATTCAGTAGGGTGGAAAAGTGATCCCTCCATAATTTGAGAAGTTCTGGATATAGGTAACTAGGTCGCCATTGTTGTTCTTACGGGATTTCGCCCTGCCCTTAAAACCTTCCGTAAATCGCCTAACTCTCTGGTCGGACATTTATCCTGTCGGCCAGCACTTCAAACTCTTCTCACTCACGTAAGAAAATTATCGTTTTGGTTTCTTGTTTTTCGAACTGGAGACAGCCACGTAGATCGGTGGCTTTTTATGGTTGAACCTAGTACTGCATACTACAATATTTCGGGCGCCGGCGAAGTCTATCAGCCCTTTGTTTTTTATTTTTTCACTGGAACCTGTTTTTACGTGGCGGGTCCCAAAGCCAGCGTTTATGTAGCGAGCCGCTTGCTCTAAGACAGACGCCCGCTTGCAGCCGCACTTACTGCTGAACAGACGCTCAATACTTTAGTGAGCTCTAAAACCGAAAATGTCCATGACCAGGCTTCACTCGGATTTATTACCGCATCTCGCCCATGGGCTGCTCACGTTGCCCAAATAAATATATTAACATTCTCTGGTAATGCAGATTAACCATCCGCGGCGTCGTGGGTTCGAGTCCCACTGCCAGTAGAGTTTTGATCCTAATTTTTTTTTAATTCATTCAATTATTATTTTTATTTATTTTTTAATGTAATTATAGTTGTTGCGGAATGTTTATTGAAATTTGACCCTAAAAATAATAATTAACTATTAATTAAATAATGTGAAGTAAAATAAAAAAAAAAAAGAAAACAAAATATGTAAACCAAATAAAATAAAGAATAAAACCGAGGATCGAGTACGCAACTCCCACCACTCGGCTACGGTAGGCGCCAAATTCGCTAGCTTTGTTTGCTTTCTATTTGATCCGAAATAGTTTTGAAATTAACTGTGGACTTAATCGTTAATTCGGAATCATCTGGGGAATTAACTGCAGTGGATCCGGATCAACGATGCCGTCCGTCTATCTTTTTAAGTGACTTATGGCTCTTATCCTTGTCTAATCCATGTCTAGTACGGACATGGATTACTGTAGTAATCCTTACTACTTAACTTATTAAGGATTAGAGACATGAGACACTTAGGGTTTTTTGTTTTGTTTTTGAGTTGGGTCGTTAGTGGAGAGGACCATCAGTATGTACCTAAATACATATTTATGTATCTAAGTATATATACATATCGTCGTTTAAAGTACAAAACCGCGTATCGTCATTCTGCAAAACCGCGTAACTGGCATTGGCTGCCAAAAGTTGGATTTACTCGCACAAGCTCTTCGCTCAATCCTTATGCATTCGTCCTGAAATATACTAGCCAGAAGTGCTATTGCTTTATAAAAAAGAGAACCATTTTGAAATATGAGTGTTTTTACTCTCTAGAAAATAATTCATGCAACCTCACATACGCGGTTTTGTACTTTAAACGACGGTATGTCTGTACATATATTGCTACAACAATATGAAAATGCAATGTATTCCAGAGGTTAAAGCTACATACATACGTACATATCATTAAACGTTTTCATTTCCTAGTCATAGTTGCCAATCGTACCAAAAAATATTAAACTTGCAAATAAGACGTCATTCATTTTTAAACAACGTAAAATACTCGTCGTATAGCAAACGAGTAAAATATATACTACAAAAAAAGTACATTAGTAAACGTACTCGTAGCTAAGGGTATTAGTTTAAATGTAATATGCAGCATCCCTGTTCGTTATTTTGCTCATGCGCTCTCATAGGTTGGCATGTGTCAGTTTAAGATAGTTGTCAAAGCGGGCATCCAATCAAAAAAGATTGAAAAACAACATTGATCCAAAATATTAAAACAACTGAAATTAATGTAAGATATTTTTTATGTACGAGTAACATACAAATAAAGTGGATTTTGAATTTGGGCGTTAAAAATAGGAATGCAGTCATCCTATTATGACAAGGATAATCGTAAATATGGCGATGTGGGCTACGAGTAAGTGCTTTAATTTAATTTAGAATAAGGCACTACATTCTCGCAAACGATTTGCGATTTTGTGTGTGATTTTCATAAACTTTAAGTGTTTAGTATCTGTACAAATATTTGTACCTGAATCGAAATCGTTAATACTGAAATGCAAACACATTTCTAAAAGTTATCTTGTTCATAAGATTCCTGAGTCCTGCCAAAGGACACTTTTTTTTGGTACCCGCATAAGACATATATGTACACACATATCCACATACAAATGTTTGTGCATCCTTTAGAGGTGTCGACACAGTTGCCCTCTTTTTGCTGAAGGTTTGCTACAACCAAAAGTATCTACGTACAGAGCTCCTTCACCTCGGGTATAAGCTACATCTTCAGTAATCTGGGTGGCTATATATCCAAAACATAAATTGCAGCACGGTGGTCGTCAATTCGAGCCTTGTTCCTGCACTATTACCAATACATGTGTTTGTATGTATGTATGTATGTAAATCTTTCGGTAATACACTACTTGTACGAAAAAAAAAATAAAAATAGATGCCTTACTGAAAATTTAATCCTGACAAGCACTTTATGCATTCGGTAAGAAGTCTTGCAAACATTTAGTACATGAGCAATGCGTGCGTGTATGTGTATTGGGGGTGTTCTTATATTTAATTCATTTCAAAGTTTCACTACGCGTCGCTAGTATATTTCTTACTTTTAAGCTGAAATTCGTTCATATAGCGTTTTATAGAGACGAAAATAGTTTAAAACGGGAGAACCTTGTTTTTATTCAGAAACTTTCGAAATTGGAAAATGCATTTAGTTGCGATGATTCCGAATATCTGTAGGCCGAAAAATAACTATGTTTTTTCACTTTTCTAGCAGATAATTATCAGGAAGAAGGAGAATGGAAAAAATTTGGGGATTCATCTTTTTGATTTTGCATTTTTTTAAAACGCTTATATCAACTTGCAATGTTGTATGTCCAGACACCTTTGCTATAATTATAGATTATAATCAAAGTTCCTATAAAAAAGTCTAGACAACAACCTCGTCGGTAGGTATCATATCAAAGACCATACAACAGACACGAGAGCTAGATGTCGCCTTGCCGGAAGTAGTTAAATATTGCGCCTAAAAATGTACACTACATACGTTGCAGCGGAAATGGACGAAACGACATTTCTTTAAATGAAATTAATTGGTGCTCGTATGTATGTATGTATGTTCATACATACATATATGGTCAATTCTACAGGAAAGTAAATCAGCCCGATTTTTTCTTTCTTTCCAATATTGAACATATTAGTGATTATTGGTATTCACTATATCTGTCAGCTGCTTCTGACACTAGTTCTTATCATGTCCAAGCATTTTGTGTTTAATATTTTGCTCCTGTTGTCGAAGGATTTTTCACGGACCTAAAAACAGTTTTCGATACTTCAACAAGGAAAAGTACAAAAATATGAGCTTTCCTTGATTTATTTTGGCCGATTCTGAACGATAGAAAATAAATTAGTTTAACAGGATACGTTCCAAGTTAGCAAAAAAGTTGTTTAGAACTGCTATTAGGTCGTAATGAAATGTACCGCAAATGTTAAGTGTAACGTAGCCGGTGAAAAACTAAAAAAGTTTTTTTTTGGATAATTAAGTACCCTTTCCAAAAGGATATATAACATGTTTTCTTAGTATTGTCGATATCATACTGATTCCATATGGAAAAAATAAATCCTAGTTGACTTCGTTGCATAAATACCTAATAAATAAGTATAACGTGGCCAGTGCTTTTCTTTTTATTAAAAATTTTTTTCTTGACTTGATAACTATTGTCATTTCATTTTAGCAATAAATAATAACACATATTTAAGAAAGTCTTTTCAGGAACAATTGCGAATTGAGCATTATACTGTTAAATTTTAATAACTATTCTATTGAAATAAAGCGAAACTAATATTTGTAAAATATCCTTTGAAACCTTTATCTATTAAGATTCTGACTATATATGTATTTGCCTATAACTCAATTAGATTTTTGCAACATATAAATCTGATAAATTATCTGCCCATTATACGTGATTGTGCTCATTGCACTACAATTTTATAGAATCTGATACAAGTCTACACCAGACTATGAAGAGTTTATAATAATAATAATAATAATAATAGATTGGCGCTTACACATATGTTAGTGCTTGGCCGATCTTCTCCTCCCAATTGTGGCGTGCGCCTTGATGTTGTCACACAAAGGTGAGAAGCTGTTTTTCATGGCAGAAATACACTCGGAGGTTTGCCTTTGCCTGCCGAGGGTCGAACGCTGTTAAGAAGAAACCTTTTTTCCATATTTTTGCGATGTTGCTTCGACCAGGGATTGAACCCAGGCCCCGCGGAGTGTAAGCGCGCACAGCATACCAGTACACCACAGCGGCCGCCGTAAGAGTTTATAAGTGTATTTATTTTGATTGTTTTGTGTTTATCGGCCTTTAAATTGTAAACTGATGTAATTTTTAGTTTATAAGCTCGAGGCCCAGAGAATACATAAAATACAGGATTTAGTTCTTTAATTTTCAATATCGATATTTCGACCTCAATCTGAGGTACTTTAGATGAGCTTTTTCATATTTTAGGTTATTAAACATAAGTGGTTTTTGTAGTTAAGTTAAATAAATATTATTTGCGGCGATAATACGAAGATTTTCCGGTCAAACATTTTAGTGTAGGATAATTTTTAACCTAGTTAGAATTTTTAAGGATAATCGAGTTTTATTTTTTAGTCCTGCAATAGAAGATCCCAATTTTAGCTCAAACAGTTGTTTGTGATGACAGAATAAGAATGCGAAGAAAAAATGGATGAACAAAGCCTTTGGGTTAAAACTATCCCAAGCCAACCGTACGTATAACGTGGCCAGTGTTTTGTGTAACGTTGCCAGTGCCCAAATTTTATCGTTGGGGATCAGTTGGTATTCAGTCTGAGACCAGTCAGGGACCAGTTGGGATCAGTCGGAAACTAGTTACTTGCGTACTATTTTGCGCCCAGTTAGTTGATTTGAGCTCCAGTGGCCGTTTTGAGGCGTTTGAAAGCCTTTAAGGTGCTTCAACGTGTTTTTGGACGCTAGGTATGCCGTATTAATATGTGTAATCTAACCAATCTATTAATATCGTTGAATTATTTTAATATCTAATGCAAAATTTTATACAGACAAATTTATATACCACGCTCTTATAAATGTACTAAAAAGTAGAAAACAATTTTTCTCAGTCCCATAGAATTTGTTTTGATAACTTTTCATTTTGAAATTTTAGCAAGTCATTATAAACAATTTATGGGATTGAAAATGAAAAGCGTGGGCGCATGCAATAGACTTTAATTGATATGAAAAGTAATACTTTCGCTGTAGATATTTTAGGTCTATCCCCGCAAACATATTCTGAGCGTTCAGAATATATGAGTCCGAAAGGAGTCCTAGGTAGGTAAGAAATATGAGTTTTAAGAACCAAGCTTATTTTTTTTTAAGTGTATGTTTATTACAAATCTTAGTCTTAAGGATTACTATTTATTTATTTTATTTAGATCTTATTGTACTAATGTTTTTTCGCAATAAATGAAATGAAATGAAAATAATTTTTTACTCTTATATGAATCTTTTAGGATTCATATATGATCCAAGCTATGAGCCAGCACCTTGTGCCAATATAAAAAAGTAAAGATTTGAAATTTAGTTCTAAACTTGATTATACAGAAATTGAAAATAATTAGAAAACAAAAAATAAACTAAAGACGCTAGCGCAATGTAGGCTTGCTTTGCACGCCTTGCTTACTTTAATTTGCTTTGATATATGTACTTCAAAAACCCGTTTGGCCAAATGGCGGCTTGGAACGCTGTCAAAGCAATCAGCTGTGTAATTAAAAAGTCAAGGTCTGTTCCCTTATACTAAGAATAATTTTCCCACAAAATTCCAGAAAGTTAAAGAAAAAGAAATACAGCGCAGTCTTTTCAGATTTATTTTTAAATTAAAGCGAATACATTTTTGCATTTCAAAGGAATGATAATAATTATACATACATACAAAACAACAAACTAAAAAAAAAACGATTTTTCGAAAGACGACTGACCAGTAGTTTGACATCATAAATATCGCTAGCTTTGTGTGAAAAGTTGCTAAGTCTACATTTTATGAAACCTCACATTTTGATATAGGAAGCAAGAGCAACTAAGGATTAAGGTACTTGTTTTATTTATTCTCGTTTATATTCAAGACAAATTTAAAGACAAATTTTCTAAGTCCTAAGAGGCCTCGAATATCCGATATCGTATACGGTCAAAAATTTGGGTTTAATTTTTAAGCCGCGCTGGGACTACGGCCTTTTTTAATCTTTTATAGTATACTTTTTAAACCAGTCAATATTTAGTTTTAAGCAATTTTTAATATATTCTGGTTTAAACTTTAGTCCAGGCAGCCGCGAAAATGGTGGATTAAAATTAAAACCAAAAAGTTCGTGGTTTTTTAAATCAAATTAAAATGTTTTAATTTTAGTTTCTAGTTTGAATTTAATAAAAAAAGTACTCAACAAAATAATCAGAGATTAACTTTCTTAATGGAAATATAGTCGGCATAATTTTTTAAGGTAATTTCCAAAATATCACAAAAATTTTTTGGCGCGGAATCCACCAGGCTAAAAAATGGGAAAAAGAATGGTTTTCTTAGAGCATTTTCGGCCTTCTTCACAATAAAGCAGTTTCCTATACTCTTCATTATCCATGTGTTTTCGGCATACATATATGTATATAATACTTCTATATTGATAGTATCGTATTTTCACAATGTGTTTTTATTCCGCAATCAAAGGGAGACAGCCTATCAAATAAATGTTTGCTTGTGTTAGTATAAATGTATATTTGTGAACTATTACAAAGAACCCACTGTCAAGTCACTCCAGGAGCGGTTTAAATTCCAAATATTAAAAAAATAGAAAAATAAAATAACCAAAAATTTTTCCCTGAACGTGATTGGGGCGAGCTTTGT